ACATATATATATATATATATATATATATATATATATATATATATCTTTACAGTCACTTTTAATAGAATGCATACTTGCTGGAAAAAGTTTTCATTTCTTGACCTCAAACTTTTGAACAGTAGTGTGTCTGTACTTTAACTATAAATATTGTGTTAAACTAACAGATATATTAAATTAACACAATATTTGTATTTAATGTAAATATACACAGCCATGCACTAAAACCAATCCGATTTCAAATTGACAACCAATACCTGTGCTGGACATTTACACCACCAAAGTGGCAAAACAGGTGTTTTTGGTGGTACCAAGCAGATTTCTTCCACACCATTGGGCACATTGGGTTAGTCATATTAGATGGGACGCAGGGGTGGGTGGGTGTGTGCCAAACACTAGAGGTTTCTCTAGCTCTGATGAGTTAAAGTGAAGAGTGTTCCTACAAACTCAACATAACATCACATTTTTCCCAAATAAGTTACCAGCTGAGGACCCAGAGCTGATCTGACCACTGTTCACAAGCGCCCGAGGTAGCCCAACTTGTCAGCTGTTCCTAATTTCTGCAATGCAGCAACCCATTCAACACGTCTGCGTGAACGCGATCATGAGCGCGGCTCACTTTCTGGCAAAGAGCGCCCCTGCAGCGCCACACTGCGCGTGCGCACATCAACGGCCCACTATCTGGCAGGATGCGGGAAGTGTAGACGGCGCATGCGCCCTAAGATCCTTCCATCTACAATCAATGAGGGATCAGTATTTAGCAAGTCCTGTGTCACTGATACCCAGGCCTCTGCCCAAAAACAACTTGCAAGCATTTACAACAATACTCGAGTAATGCAGTCAATGTGACAGGCCACCTTAACCTAAAACACATCTTTCAAAAGCATACCGGGCGTTTAACATATGTCCGTACAAAACACACTTAGTGAAAAGAAATAAAGTAAACACAACACACTGAAGCAGGTGGAAGAGCAAGTCTGCTCATTTATAACATGACAGTTGTCATAAAAATCACTAATTTGATTACAAACTCTCAGTCATTCGTAGGTTAAAATGTTCCACTATCAATACACAGAAATGCTTTGCTAAAAATCACATTACATAGCTGTAATATAAGAGTCATAAAGTAATAAGGCTGGCAAGCGCAACAAGAGGCTAAACTAGTTAGCACCACAACAGCAGCCTGAAACAAGCTCAAATATAACCGACACAGATCCTCTAAACGCGCTGTTTTCACTCTTACGAGGCTAATTGAAAGCTAAAACCGAGATACGTGACTTCTCCTGGTGTGTTGTGGTGTGTTTGAGTTTATACACTTACCTTTTTTTGAAGGTAAGCTGTTTTACCGTATCGGATATTTTTCTATGGAGCGGCTTCACGTCCGGGTTAACTGAATGACGGAGGACGGGAGTGCGTACGTACCGCTCGGGCGCGCGCGCTGTGCAATAACTGTCACGCCAGTGTAAATATCAGTTTAATATCATAATTACTATTTTAAAGCACAGATTCATATACTTCTAATCTGATTTCATGTTATTTTCCCTGTCATCTGTGGGTTTCAGTAAAATGTATGAGAGAAATATAAATAGCAGTCTAAGAAATTTTATTTTTATATCAAAGTGTGCTCCGTTTTATTATATAAGTAATAACTACTAACACCCTACTTTATTATAATTTTTTTCTTACTATTTATCTGTCACTTTTTGTTTGCTTTGGCATTGCTGCATGCAAAACAATGATGACAATAAAGTATTTTTCAACTGAGTTGAATTTAATGGAAATTTGGTCTACTCCATAGTATAGCAATAACTGCTGTAGTTGATCACTCTAAATCCTTCAGTTATTATTATTATTATTATTATTATTATTATTATTATTATTATTATAGTTAACAATAGTTTTATCTATTGTTAACTGTGATGTTTGGGTGAATGTCAGATTGTCTCGTAATGTCTTTCAGGCAGCGTTTATGATGGATAAGATTTATTGTTAGTGCTTGATTGCATGCGATAATTCACAAATGGATAAACAAGCCATTTCTCTCTCTCTCTCTCTCTCTCTCTCTCTCTCTCTCTTCTTTCACTTCATTTTATCATTCTTTATATAACACCCATTGTGTCATTCTGTGAAGGTCAGTGTGAGAGTGGGTATAGGTGGCAGCGGGTTGTGTGTTTTCCCCTAATCCATGAGGTTATAGGAGTGTTTTTGGATGCATGTGTTCCTCTTCCAATTCAGGCTCTGAAGGGAGACATGAATCAGCACCAGCAGATGTTCATGAAAAAATGACTCTGTAAAAAAATCAAATAAAGATGAAAAAGATTTGGAAGGAAGAAAAAAGGGAATAATATTTAAAAACACAAGGGAAAGAGAAAAATATGCACAGCCTCACAAACCATGAATGTCACAGTTTGTAAACCTAAACGGACGGCGTAAACTCACTGTTTGCCATAGAAGATTTGTAAATGTGCCTGCCTATATCATAAAATACAAACATAAAACTTTTCATTACTGTTCTTTTATTGCAATAATAATTTTATCTTTTCAGTTTTATGTGTTTGTTAGTTATTTTTTCTTCATGGCTATGTAAAGCTCTGTGAATTATTGCATGAACTGTGCGATATTAATAAACTTGCCTTGCCTGTGTTAATTTAGCAATATTTTACTCAAACGATCTGTTTTTGATGGTGGAGCAAAAATAAACAAAAAATATAGACATACACTCATAAAATGAAAAAGAGTCTTATTGCAGTGATGCCATAGAAAAACAATTTTGGGTTCCCCAAAGAACCTTTCATTGAACAGTTCTCAAAGAACATTTTTTTCTTAGTATGAAGAACATTGTATAATTTAAAGAACCTTTTTTCAAGTATTTATAAAAAAATAAATAAAAAAAAACTTTTGTGAAAAGTTACTATAGATATTAAATGTTCCAAATGGTACTGGGAAATAGTTCGCGCAAAATCGTCCCAGTACTTTAGTACTGTACATTTAGTTCTGGAACTAAAGCGGTGTGAAAGGCCCTATTGACACCAATAAAGAACCTTTATTTTTAAGAGTGAACTATATCTGAAATGTCAGTTAGTGAAGTTATTAAACGTAATTTTGGGAGGAGTACGCCTATCTAATCTTCCAATTAATACCAAGGTATAAAACCAGCATCTTACCTCTTCCCGTTGTTAGTTCTTTCGGCATCCCTCCTCCTCCCCTTCTCCTCCTTTTTTGTACAATTTTGCCTGTTATAGGGGGGCAATCGGAGCTCGAGTAGAATATCATCTCTGAGCCCCTCTATAGCAGACAGCAAGCCAAATCTGTTTACCACTTAGACTAAGATTATATAGGCACACAAACTCGTGAATTTGTATATATTAAAATCTTTTATTTATTTAATTTTATGAAAGAAATATCACAGGAGAAAGTATATTTACTGAACTGAATATCAGTATGGCTGTGATTCGGCTGTGGCCTTGAGGTGCAGGTAATCAGCTGTGATGATATTCTTAATTGGTTTTTTTTTCCCTGAATGGTGACTCAAACATTTGCCACTCTTCATGACAAGAAGTTAGCCTACCCTTATGATCCCATTAACTGCGGTAATTGTGTTGAACTAGAGTTCTTGTTACCTGAATGCTGTTTAGAGTTCTCTGTTGTTAATATGTGACACCAATTAAAGCGTGCCAGGCCAGTGTATCCAATCCACAAATGACAGTGTTGACAGTACTTGACACTCTCACAGCATTAGTTGAGGGTGTTTTACAAGAGTGAAAATCACATTACTGCAGAGCTCAAACACCAAGTACACAGCTGAAATGTTCATGCTATCAAGATTAATGTAACAATGTTTTGATATTCATAATGTTTAATCATTTTTTATATCATTAAGCATCTGTTTGAATCAACATGAATCAAAATGGTCTATGTTTATTTTCTAAATATACATTCCTGCCCCTTGGTCACATTGGTGCATATTATTGCAAAGAAAACAATATCTATCTTCTTAATATTTCATCAAAACATAATAACTTGCTTTGTTTCTCAAATGACTTTTCAGCTGACAGTACCAAGGAGGTCTATAATACTTGGAGATAGCTATCGTTGGCATTCCCATTCATCTCAATTTCAGTTCTTTGGCTGTCTGCAGTCTTTTCTCATGGGCATTCAGTTCTGGTGACTTTTTTAGCCAATCACCTGAGCCATAAATGTCACGTGACTTACTATTCTGGAGCCACAGAAAAATGATGTCCTGACATGCTACTCTGGGTTGTGTTTCCCAGAAGCAATATTAGCTAACTATGGTTGCAGCAAGTTCCACTAGTATATAGTTCTACCTTTCATCTTTCATTCCATTTAAATATTTATACATAATATCATATATATACATGTACATCATATCTTATATCTATATACTTTAGCATGTCAACAATTGAGGGAACCTTGGAGTATGACATAAGAGGGAATCCATAATGAATCAAACATAAAATAAAGCAAAACGACAGGGTTTAAAAATAGTTAAGTAGTCCGTTCATTACAGCAACATTTTGGAGAAATTACATTGTGGAGGAAGCTGCTGACTGAATGAATCGCATATATAGCCTATGGGGGTATGCCAATTACATACCGCTTGTAAACAAGATTATGAATCGCAATGAACGACCTTCTGTTGTTTTGTGTAAATGAATGCTGCATTCCCTTCTCATGCCCTAAACCCTTCGAAGGGTTAACCCTCGAGAGAGAGAGAGCTTCGAAGGGATGAAGGGTGTAGGTAGGGGACCAAAGAGCTGTTCCTTGGGACAGACATCTGTGGCATCTTGCCGTGCCAATTAAAAAAGGCGCCACCATTGCACAATTAAACCTGTGCAAAGAATCATGGGAATGGTGTGTCCATCAGTCGTGTCTTTCTAAACCTTTCATTCCAAAGGGCCCTTTGAAGTGGCCGTTTTTGAGCACTTTGGTTTGGAACGAGCCTTCAGTATGGCGGGCATGACTGTTCTCAATCCAAAGTGCTCTTGAGTGGTGAATTTATCCTGTTTGGAAAGCAGAAAAACTGGTGTAATTAAAGCAGCGGTACCCTCACACATATTAAACAGGGAATATGTGCATGATTTACACACACACATTTCCAACCCATGTGTCTGTGTATCACTTACCATTCCATTGCCCCCTCCAAAAATAATTAAGCATCTTCAGAGAGGAATTGGGTTACCTGCACATTACAGTGAGAGATGTAAGGCTAGCTTACACTGGGGACACTGGGGAGGAATGAACACTGGGTGAGAGATGATAATTATGGGAAGAGAGAGAGAGATGAGAAAGACGGCTCATCTCTGATGCACAGACCCACCTGGACATTAGCATCATCCAGTTACCATGGTAAAATGCTTTATAGTATGTCTGTTTATGGACCTTGGTCAGGGACACCATATTTAACTTGACATGAACAACAATGAGGCTCTTAGAGGTAGAGGTACATTGAATTCGCAGGGTTGTTTTGTCTTAAAGTCCATATACAATTAAAATGTGAGTTTTTGACAGGGTTTATTTTGTGACAAAATACTCTACATTATGGTAGCAAATAAATAAGTGCACATAAAATATTGATTTGAATTAATATTATTTTGTAAATTTACCTGCATATGACCCGTAAAGTTTCCGCTAAGAAAACAAAATAGCCCATTATAATGTACAA